ACGCCAGAGTCACATGATGACACGCTTTCTGCCCAGAGGTCTTTGGTCCATTTCCAAATCTGTTTTCTTTTCTCCAAAAAGGAGGGGCACACACACTCAACCACATTGATATTATTGTAAATGATCGCTTATACTGTATTGTATTTAAATAGCATGTGAACAATCGAAGATAACACGTTTAGATGATTTCCCGAATATAAACCTGTACAAATCTTTTTTTTTAAATCATTATTTGTAGAACCACACCAACGCCGTTAAAACAGCGATACTAATAAATAGACCGATATTAACTCTGTAATTATACACGAGTTGTGTTGCAGTTCCTCGCAGTGCCCACTAGAGGGCAATACACTGGTATATCAACAGTCCATGGTTAAAGCATACAGCCCTGCTGCACATGCGCACTAGTGTTCTCGGTTCTCACTACATCTGACACACATAAACATACACACACACTTAAACCCCTTTAAAAGTCTGCAATTAATTTATACATTTCTTAAATATATTATATTTTATGAATATTTTGTTGTTTTCAAGTTCATTGCTAGACAACATGAGTTTATTACACATTTGGGGTGTATTCATTCATCATGAATATGTCTGTATAAGTGAAAGGTGTATACTGCCTATATAGCTAGCTATGTTCCTTGTTGTATTTCTTATATATTTTATCTTGTTTATCCTCTCCTTAACTAATTTCATTTTTTGTATTCATGCACTCGATACCATAGTTACAACACGTGCAAATAACATAATATCAGTATCTTACTGAACATAGATTCAAGATTACAGAGAAATTGAGTTGTACAGTTCATTTGTAATCACAGTGTAGGATCATTTCTTCATCTGCATGCAGTGGAGCAGAATTTTTTTAAAATGGATTGAAGGACTTCTCCTTGAGGAGAACTTTGATTACCAAGAGGGACACGGCGGCAGCAGACAGAGGGCAAACACAGAGAGCAGCTCATTTGGACCACTTGTCTCCTTTTGGTTGAGGGGCGATGGCCAAAAATATACGCATAAGTCATGAGAGCCACTTTTCTCACACCTGAGACTTGTTGTACATGATTATATTACATATTAATATTATGCATCATTGTCAGTCTTTTTTTGCACTGAATATCTCAGAATATATATTTTGAATGCTTAGTATTGGATGTACACTAAGAATATTCATTAGTTAGATTAGGCATGCGTTTGTCTACAAATACTGGCACCTACGTAATGTTGAAACTACACCATTTGTTTGCATTTCACCCCGCGATAGTTGTAGAGCTAATACTTCATCATAAAAGCACACTACAATTTTTGCCAATTATATAAAGCATATGGTTTTGCAGTTCAATTTCAATATTGACCCTTCGCAATAGATATATTGGTAAAGTAAATGCAATGAATAGAAATGGTAAATCAATGTACTCAAACGGCAAAAAGATAAAAGTATTATAAAACTTTATTGTTGCTAACTGTATATAATATCCAAACTGTAACCGCTTACCAAATGATCAGTGAAAATACTGAAGTCTACCAACACAGGTTTTTCATCCAATATCTTCTAAAATATAATCCTCAGAATTAAATTTCAACAAATCTAAAGAAGAATTCAGTTCACCAGTAAGCAAGAAGGTCTTTCACACGAAGAGAAAAATGCTTATACGGTTCCGCAATCATGCGCTTATTAACAAAAAGTTGAAATTGTATAACCCCAAACCTTTAGTTTATGCACCAAAAGTATATGAAATAGGCCAATAAATACAGGGTAACGACTGTCACGCTCCATATTTGAAAAATGTAAGTCGTTCTTGAGTATACATGTTAAACAATAAAGCCACATTAGATCTTACTTTTTGGAAAATAATATATTTAAGAAATGTATACATTTTCCAAATCTAGCACCTCTGTGAGTCTCCAGAGGCCAAAGGTTATTATTAACACAGTCAACAAGAGTCATTATGTGAGGAAAAATGATACAGTAGCTCCTCGACAGAGACACAAGAGATGAAGAAGGAGAATATGAATGACGTAAATAAAAAGGTTTTTGGGAGAAATATTCAGGTAGTGTTCTGGAGCAGTCACTCTTCACATTTGATCGCGGAGTTTGGCGAGCCTTTGAGAAAGTTCGTCCTTTGAACAAGAGAGAGCAAAGACAGACATCAGTGAGGAAGAAAAGCGTTGTTTGGAGAACCCATTCTGTTTAAGTCTTTGCAAATACTGCATTTTTAAAGTATTTATGGACAAATAGAAAGTATCATTGGCAGAGATTTGGGCACTGGAGTTTGGTGGCATCGTGAAGTAGCGTGGCATAATGGAAATGGTTGCCTTCATCACCACTAGTGTCATTGCACTCACTTTGTCCCAGTGTGTATCGCTTCATGGTTCATCGTTAAGGAGGTTTTGAATGAGAGCAACAACATTTGATGAGGTATCCTCCCCTCCAAAACAAGCTGACCCGATGATTAAAATGACTAAAAGAAGCTTACCATCAAAAAACACTGTTCCTTCAATGCCGTTTGGCGGACAATTGACGCCCCGAAGTGGCTGCGAGCAGATCTACTGCTTAATTTTGCTACGCTTGTTTCTCTAAAAAACGTAGGATCTACACGTGCAATGACTAAAATCTTTCTTTCGCTTTTGGTTGAAAACAGTTAAGACCCAAAAATGTATCAATCAAATGTGGCTTAAAGTTGGTTAAAAATTCAAACAGTCTGGCTTAAGTTTTGTTTTTTTAAGTATAGTTCAGTTTATTTGTTCCAGATATAAAATGTTATAAAACACATGTTTACCTGTTCTGCAGAGGCCACGCTGGAACCCACGGATCCTGTCTGTCCCTGAGGGAGCTCCATGTTCAGGTCCAATCTAAACATGATGAATAAACCAACATTCAAATCTTATTAACACAATGCTCATATAATACAGAATACAACAGACTAAAATGTTTCACTATTTAAGCTTCCAGTACTCTAAGAATGCATATCATATATCTATTTATGTTATTTAACATCATTTCACAAAGAATGTTGAGACACAGAATGAAAGCTTACCCTGCTTCATCAGCCAGTTGATGCATCAACCCCTCCACTTGATTCTGAAAACACACATTAGATTAGCAGGGAATGAGTTTGTCTTTACACACAAAGAACAAATTATATAAGAGGAGGGCATTAAAATGTACCTGTGGAGTTGTGAGTGTTGTTGTGCTACTCATGGCTTCTTCCATATGGGCGGTCTGAACATCCAAAGTTTCAAACTGGCGCTCAAATTTGTCCATGAGAGCTGAAATCTGAAGTAGACAGAAAGAGTTTAAGCCTTTTTTTAACCGAGAGGAATTTGTTACCAACTATAATTACAATTGAATTGTTTTTGCTAAAGTGGATAACGTGGATACAATTATTTTATCTGTAATATACCTTACCTTTTCCAGATTCATAGATCTCAGAGCAGAATCCATGCTTTTCACCACTCCAGCCATAGAATTTGTGACCTGAGAAAAAAAAACATTTTCACTAAAATGACAACAAACAAGCTTTCTTAAGTCGGAAAATTCAACCGACTTTTAGGTCATTTAGCAAGATTTCGAGACCAAGTATTCAATATACCTGGTTCATTGTGACTGCAGTTTGGACCCTCGCTGCCACCGCATCTACCTGCGCGCTCATCCTCAGGAAGTTCAGAGACTGGTTCTTCTGTCTGATGGCGTTTTCTGCGTGGATCCTCGCCACTTCCATATTTCCCTTCTGGATGGCCTAGACGACACACAAATAGGTTGGTTCAGTTATATCTACAGCAGTCAACACCAGCTGGGAGGCTTTCATAATGTACTATCTTGATGAAGTTCAACTTACTTTCTTAACCTTAACTTTCTCTGTTTTTTCCTCTTTGTCACATTTCTTTGAACTGCTTTGGAGTTGTTTAGCAGCAAACTTCAAATTGAAGAGCTGTTCTGTGATCGGAGGTTAAAGAAGAACACAACCCAAACAAACACAACAAACAACCTTAACTAGACCTCACAGTGGGAGGTCTGGACAAACAAGTCTGGCCTATTCATCTATCTATATATGTTTCTACTCTATTTCCTCAACATAAAAAAAGTATTTAGAATTGTGTCTGACATTTAACATTAAAACATTTAGCAAAATTATTCTCTTGACTAAATAAGTATAGAGTGTCAAGTACAGGTTATGTAACTAAGTTTGCTATTTATTTGATGTATGTTTAATGCTAAATAAGAGACGGTTAAAACAATACTTTCTGATAGAACAGGTACAACAATAAGACATAGGCGCGTACAAAGTTATCCGTTTTATTATTTTGAGTATTAAAATACCCTGACCTAAATTGTGAACCACCAATTGTCGGTTGTTGGGTATTTCCAACCGTTAGCAATGGAGCTTCCGAGGCCTTCAATCCAGTTGTGTCCTACTTACCACGCCTGAAACGTACTAGGAAATGGTAAGGTTATTCACTATGGCAGCCTTTGTGTATTTGGCGAATATCTAACAGGACAAACCATGTTTCAGATGTCTGTCCCGCATACATCTCACCGTCATGTTGTTATGTTCGGTCTCTATTTTGACGTTACACCACAGTCTTACGTCCCCTCCTCATCGGTGTTTTAAAAGGATACTTTCCAATTTCGCCATCTTGACTCGATTCTTAGCGAACCAACAATAAGACCTTACGGACTGTGTCCAAAAAAACAAGCTAAACAAAGCAAAACTAGGCACTGAAACTTCAGCCTTTCTGGTATCGGTCTTCGCCTTCTTTTGCACTTCCTGATGTCTTACCAAAATATGAATGACGTCAGCGTCACGTGGTCACGGTATTCCATACGACGTCACGGGAGAGCTGTCCCCCGCCTCCTCTCAAAACGTGAATGAAAAAATAAAAACACCTTACATTTTAACATTAAAATAACATATTCTCCGTGTTTTAATTCAGGTTTTATTGTAGGTTTTGTTTACAGTCGGATAAAAGTACCTGGCTGTTGCCTTGTACCGGCGGAGGAGTGGGTGGTGAAGCGGTTGATTGATGATTAGATTTATGGTGTGGATCACGGAGAGAGGATGACTCACCCCCGTCTGATGTGATGTTCACCCCGCAACAGCTCAGCAGTGCGGTGGCACGCCGGTAGTTCAGCTTGACACCTCGTTGTTGCTGCACCAATAAAAGTTTAGCAAACTGTTAATATGCTTTTAGGCGGCCCTATGATACCTCGTTTGCTTGAAACTTAAGTGGCTGTCACTTGAGACCGAGCGTCGTGCTTTACCGTACATTTCGTGACGCCTGATTGCCATGGAAACAGCGGTGCGCTGAGAGGAAACTGTCCGTGTTAACTTCAGCAGCAACCTTTCAGAGGGTCGGATAAACCTGTTGGATATCTCTGTGTTTTTCGTGTTTTCCTTCTATTGCTACTCTGGCTTTACTTTCTATTTTAATTTGGCAACGAAACAGGTGAGTTTCTAAGTGTTGTGCAGCTGTGTATTTTGTTAAATATTACCCTGTGCAGTTGCTTAAGCTGAATGCCAACTTGTGACCTGTGTCCATATTGCAACAAATATTAATGCACCACTAAATAGCGACGAGGGGCTCATTTTGAACTAAATAGTCAATGATACATTTCGAGTTTAAACATCAAAAAACAAAAGTGGCCTTTGCAAAATATTGTTAAAATGTCCACCAATGTAAAGGCCTATACCTCCAGATCACAACAATGTATAAGCTAAATAATATAGTATGTAATATGCTTTATTCCACCCTCCAGACTTCTATATATTTAGTGAATGTCCTCCCTGTTTGCCAAGTGGTGCATTTTGTGTCGTTTCTTTATTGCGCACAGGGAAATAGCCTAACCCAGGAGAGCCAGGCAGTGATGCTTCATTCAGAGCTGTATGACTCATATATTCTTATCTAAAAAGAAGCCAAGTGGCATAGGAACAGCAGTGCTGCTGCAGGACCGAGCTGATGTAACCCCCCAGATTCACTAGAGGCTGCTAGTGGGCCTTGTTTGTGCCCCGAGCTACTGTCTGACACCTTTACTTTACACTCATGATACTAACACAGGCTGTAGTGTCACACACTCTGCACTCAGCAGATGATCCAGTGCTGTTTAAAGTACATCACATGATATGACCAGGACAGCTTGAAAACTGTACAAATTATATTCAACAGGGTCGGCTATTTTTCACTGAGATAAACAGATTTTTTTGTTAGTATTAAACTACATTAATTTCATTTATCTAATAGTATATCATTATCATTATCAAAAACAATAAATAAGAAGTACACAAATTCAAATAATGTAAGAAAAATACTATAATTATAAAAAAATAACATTAGAGTTTACTTAAGTTGAGTATATGGTCAATTATCATTTGTAATCATATACAATACATTACAATTGGCACATACTTGGTATCAATTCAAGTAGTGACATCTAACAAGCTTTTTGAAATGCATAATTCACATTTGTAATTTAATAATCTTAACACAATATAAGTGAGTAAAATAAAATCCTAGGTGTCATAAGAGCAACATAGATCAGATGACCTCAAAGTGCATTTTCAAGTTTTCTGTCAAGCTTTCTAAAATAGCACGGATTCACCTACCTTTACCCAAACAATAAAGGTCATATACATTTGACCTGAATTGGATTTGCTATAGTATAGCAATAACGCAATAACCCAATAAATGGCAAATATGTAATTGATGCAATTTTAAAAAAAATAAGAAGAAATGTCTAAGCTTAATTTCCTTCACCTTTAAATAAAATGCACAAAACATTTTATTGAACGCAATATAGACAGGATGAGATCTTTTATCTTTCAAAACACCCTGTGGATCCTTAAATGATCCCTATGTTGTCATAAAAGCGTTAGAGTGTGAAGGTCGTTTATAGCCTACTAGCAATACACTAAAACATTTGCCTCATCAGTGAGTCAGCGTACAATTATAAAGACCCTTTTCCCTTTAACAAATACAATGTTGTCACTTTAAAAACAGCACATCACTTTTTATTAGAATCAATATGTCTAGTGTATAAGCACAGCTGTATATGGCTTGTTTGGTATACCAAGTTTAGATTCAGCAGGACTCCTACCTCAGATGAACATGTTTATACAGACAATAAAAACACACACAAGTCCAGCCTGTCTGCCGATTATAGATCCATCAACCAGATTTTCCTGCAGCTGCAAGCTAGTGAATAACACACAGGTGAGTCACACTGAATCTTAATCTACTGTGACCATCAAATCGCGTGACAAACAGCTGATGACGTTCATAGTACAACTTGAATGTATTTTATCAATATCAGAAAAGAACTAAAACTCCCACTGCATGGGGTCGTTATTTAAACTATTCACATCTTACAAGTGTGTTGTCTGCACTAAATAGCTTGAAGCAAATATCTGTTATCATGACAACCATTTTAAAGTCTATTAGGAATAGGAAATAAATGTGAGAGAACATGTTTATTTTCATTTTACTTTTGCAACCTGCTGCTTGTTACGACCTTGTGCACAGAGAAGTACAACATGGGGAATTGAAAAGATTCAGTGCATCACTAAAAGCATGATCAAGCGATTCCTGTGCCATTCAGATGACTTTGCCATTTGTTATAATGCTGTTGCCATCTGGTGGTAGCATAACCCAGTCTTCACAGCACATATTAAAGGCGGGGTAGGCAGTATTTATTTGTCGTCATCATGCAAAAATTCCATTATAGCCTTTTAGAATATTGAAGTTCAAGTGGTACCAGTTTTATGGATAATGAAAAAAAACATTCCAGAATAAAAAAATACAGATCTCATCCTGCAGCCGGAGCCATGCGCTATTTTCTCTCAGACAACTTGAAATATTATGATATATAATCTGAAATATAAAAGCAATTCAAAATATCTAATCTTTGCCAAATAATGCAATAAAATACTGCTTAACCCAGCTTTAAGTATGTTGTTACCTTTGTTGCTAAATTGGAGCATTGACTATAATTCATACCTAGCTGATAAACAATGTCACATTGCATTTTGCACAAACTGCTATCAGAGAAAAAGTATGGTAAAATCATGTCAAACAAAAGGCCTCAGTGCAGTTCACTTATTAGTTTGACTGCAATTGTGCATTTAAATTCTTAGGAGCAGGGGAAAACAAAATACCAAATGTTAGATTAGTGAAGTCCAGACTTTCAGGCTTACAAATAAATGAAAACAAATGATAAAGGAAAAGGATGTAGACAGGGTGTTAAGATGACAAACATGTCCAAACAAATACATTTTATGTGCACATTTTCCTTTGAAAAGGGCATATTGTACAGAAGACAAAAGTCCAGTAGATTTTGTTATTCTAAGAAAAAAAAGTATTTCAAATAATATGATGTCTACTCTGTTGTACTGCCTCGATCTTTCATTGGCACTCATTCCTTATAATGTGATACATATGTCAGACCTCTATTTCACAGGTGAGGATGATGGAGCTTCCAACAGAGAAGAGGTTCCACAACTTGACCCTTGAGCAAATGCAAGCTCTGGACAAAGTCTTGACTGAGGTTATCCCCATCCATGGACGAGGAAACTTCCCCACACTGCAGGTGAGAGCGAAAGACATCATCCGTGTGGTTAAGGATCGGCTGGTAGAAAGAGACATCCAGGTGAGAGACATACGGCTCAACGGCGCGACGGCCAGCTACGTCCTGGTGAGGGATAACTGCCTTGGCTACCGAGATTTAGACATCATTTTTGGAGTGGAGCTGCCCAGGGAGGGGGACCTTCAGGTGATAAAGGAGGTGGTGCTGGGCACCCTACGAGACCTCCTCCCCTGTGGCGTTAACAGACGGAAGATCACATGCCTGACGATGAAGGAGGCCTACGTGCAAAAGATGGTGAAAGTTTTCAACGAACATGACAGATGGAGCCTAATCTCGCTTTCGAACAATAGATCTAAAACCGTAGGGCTCCGCTTCGTCAGCTCCCTTAGAAGACAGTTCGAGTTCAGCGTGGACTCCTTCCAGATAATATTAGACCGCATGCTGGAGTCTTACTGGGAGACAGAAAGGAAACAAGTCGGGAAGTTGGCATTGAATGCTGGGAATTTGTCTAAAAGACACAATGAAGATGAAAAGAAAAAGCAAGAGCAATCAAGTGTTCCTCGAGAAGTTGAACCTGATGTTGAAAAAGACTCCAATGGAGAAAACCAATCTCAGGATGAGACCATTCCAGTGCTTGAGGAAGAGCTTCCAGGTGCAAAGGTTGAGCGTGTGGTTGAAAAGCAGCAGGAGGTGCTGGATTCCACGAGCGCTAACTTACCGCAGGAAGACGTGGATGGGGTCAAAGACGTTCATTCAGCAGAAGAAATTGTGTTTGAGATATGTGAAGAAAAAGGAGAAGAGAAAGGTCAGTTTCACAGTGATTATCCTTTACTTTTAGCCGCTGATACGTTATTACCGGTTGCCAGGGATCCGCTGATGACACATGCATGTTTAAATCTGCAGAGTTATGAAGAGCTGTCTGCGTCACAAGCTCCTCCAACAGCAGAAAAGTCAGCTCTGCAGGAAGTCCATTGCGTGGAAACTACTCAGTTCAAAGTCGACTCCCCACAAGATTCACATCTTGAATTTTCCTTTCCTCCTCCTGCTAAGAAAACTTGCAGCACATCACAGAATATTGTACCCGACTATTGCCCTTCACCAAAATTACAAAGGAAAATGTCAAGGAAGTTGATCAGTAAGCCAGAGAATTGGTCTTTACTGACTGATTTGTCAGATCTTACAACTCCGCTGTTTCCCCCCATAGAGATACCCAAACCTCTTCAGCGAAAGCCTTCTTTACTGGACAGCGCTCAAGTTCATGGCTCAAATGTTCTGACCCCCAAGTCAGAGGCTTTACAAACCCTTTCAGCTCCCACATGCGGTCCTGTAAGTACACTTCAGGATGGGACTGGCTCCAATGAAACTGTGGAACAAACTGTAAAGCCAAAACACTCGAGGAAGCCTCCTGATTTGGAGACTCAAAGCCACACATATGGACAGCCTCAGATCAATGATCAAACCCCAGAAGCTGTACAGAACCGGTGCGGGGCGGGTTCATGGGTTGGTGCAGCCGGGGAGCCTACTATCACTGTCGAAGCGGAGTGCATGTATGGAGACTTTGACCAGGCGATGGACCACCTCCGCCTCCGCCTCATCGCCACCCACAAACCAGAGGAGATCCGAGGAGGGGGCCTGCTGAAATACAGCGACCTGCTGGTTAGGAACTTCCGTCCAGCCAGCGAGACTGAGATCAAGTCCTTGGAGCGATACATGTGCTCCCGCTTCTTCATTGACTTTCCCGACGTGAGCGAGCAGCAGCGAAAGATCGAGGCCTACCTGCAATGCCATTTTATTGGCAACGAGGAGACGAGCAAGTACGACTACCTGATGACCCTGCGGCGCATCATAGACCAGAGCACGGTGTGTTTGATGGGACACGAGAGGAGGCAGACCCTCAACATGATCACAGTCCTGGCTCTCAGGGTGCTGGGCGAACAGAACGCCATTCCCAACACTGCCAACGTCACCTGCTTCTACCAGCCGGCTCCGTACATGGCCGAGCCCATTTACAGCAGCTACTTCATCACCCAGGCCCAGCCCCCCCTCGTCTACCACCCCTACCCGCTACAAGTGCACGTGCAGACCGGCCTGGTGTAGCTACAGTGAGGTGCCCACAGAGAGGCATTGAGGTTGCTTTCAGCATGGTGCTCTGCAAGCATAGGCACAAATGGAAGTTTTATCGACAACAGGCAACCACGGGCACAGTGTTGTTTGATGCTTTGAAACCCCTCCCGATTATGAAATAAAAGGTCAGAACTGAAAGGGGTATGGAGGCGAAGCATGGCACCCTTTCAAGATGAACACTTTTAAAGAGGAAAGAAAGAGCCCAATTTCAGGGAGCTCGTGGAGAGGATCTATTGAAGTGGAGGGTCTTTGTTCATTGCTGTTTCAGCTCAGCTTTGGCTCGATGCTCACCGTCCCTTGTTGAGGAGAATGTTGTAATGTGACAAATCTCTATGGCTTAAAGATACACATTTTCAACATATAAGAACATCATACGTGTTGGCAGCAAAAATATCAATTAGTTAAAGTTTGAATAATGATACATCCTTAACCTGAGGGTTAAACACACCTTTATAGCTGGTTTTGTGACTCATCAGTATCTGTGGAGTGAATTTCAGATTGTACCTGTGTATTCACTGTAGAGTAAAAGAACATCATTTACCTAGGGGATAAAATGCTGTGATATTTGTATGATATTGTAAGTTATCTATCTGTGAATGTTAACACCTAATTTCAAGGGTGGAAACAGGAGATTGAAGGCTTGGTTCCATTATGACTGTATGGAAATGATTGGGTTGGTTAAGAGAAGCTAAACAAACAGATTAGGCTTTTAATGTTGATACATTTTGAATGGTTTTGGTTTTTTTATTCGTTTTTTTTAAAGTTCAAAGTTGGCCAGAAAAATACGTGTTCTTGGTCTCCATCTCTCGTAATGATGAGATAATAATATTGGGGGTCTTTACCTTTCTTTGAACATTAAAATGTATTTATGCAAATTCATTGCAGAGAAAAGCCTAATTATTTTCAACAGCCACTTTAAATATTAAAACCAAACTCCCAATCAGGGACATGTTACTGTGGGGTGTTTGTTAGTGCTTTTGCATTGCTAAAATGAATTGACCATGCAGTTTATCAAATCTATTCAAGTTTCCTTTCTACTTAAAATCCAGAGAGCATGTCAAATTCTGTTTTTCCTCGTCAACAAGCTGAATATATGTTTTGTGTGTATTACTTGGTGACTGTTTATTTTTCTTATTGATGTTAGTGAATGTTTTGCCAGGGTTTTTGCTTGCTGATGTCACGGCACATTTGAATTGTTCAAGCAGTCGATGCAGCCAGCGGTTATTGCACTGTGTTTGTTCATTGTGTATGCATACAGTACATATACTCAGTATTTTTTCACAATACAAAGAAAAGAACATGTAAGCACAGGTAAGGAAATGTGTGCTGTTCACACTCCAGCTGAGACTGAAGCACAATGTAAATGCACAACAAAACAAAAGCTGTTGTTGAGTAATGAATGTGTTTCTGACAAGCTCGTGAATCCCCGATTAAATATTGAAAACGTCTAAAACACTGTGTGCCGTGTAGTGTAGCTTTGAAGTGATGTATCTATCTGGAGATTTTGGGTGTATCGTGTATCGTTACGACAGTTTGACATGTAGAGAAGTTAAAGTATTCCTGTTATGATATGTTACTGCTCAGATTGTTGTTTCTGTGGTAATAAATACCAAGAAAAATATGTTTGTCTAAAGTCTTCTATTGGTGGTCTGAGTTACATTGATTCTTAAATAACAATTACTAATCTGTTTATGCACATGCGATAACTAAGATGTTAATAAAGCACTGTAATAAGAATGTATTCATTTAAGTGGTTTGAAAGTTAAAAGGTAAAAAGCTGTCATCATATATCAGAGATCATAGGTAACACCATTTGGTGAAGGATTATGACTTAACAGGCATTTATGTAAATGAAAATCCTCAAGATTACTTCAAGTCACTTTTCTTTCTGAAAGGTGTTTTTTTTTTTAACCTTATTTCTCCTCTAAATGCAACACAAGTTGACTTTTAATTAGGCCAGTTTCAAAAGCTGCTGCCTTCAGTCAAAACATATCACTTACATTTGAATTGCATTTCATTTTTCAAAACAAAGCATGCGAGTAAGAATGCAATTAAAGCCTGTTGCTGTTTGAAGCATGGGCATTTTAGTAGTACAGCTTTATTCAAAGGCTCCATGCTTTGTCAGCCTCCCTCTCTCCTGATGCTTATTGACACAATGAAGGAATACCATGTTCTTACGCACAGCAAAGACTTGTGAAATTACTTATTACTTACAAATAATAAACCTTTTTGCCCCTACCCCAGATCCTAAGGTTGAGCTCCATGTTTTTGGGACCTTTGCTCAAAAGCAATTATTTAAAGAGCTTTCTATTTGGAGTCTTTTGAAGGTGGGTGTTTATACTTCCATAATGCTTCATTTGTACTTTCACACAATTCATTATCCCACTGCTGATCTGATAACAAAAAAACTCCACTACCTTTTCTGCATTCATGCATAGTATAGACCATCTAATGATATGTTTAATTTGAATTAAAAAAAGATGGCTAATTAAAAAAAAAAAAAAAAATGTTAACTGGCTATTCTCTGCCATAACCAAACATCTGCTGTTGGTATTCCCATCATTGTGAAAAATATGCCTTTTTAATTTCAGTCTTTTAATAGCCACTGGTTCCTATAGTAATTGTAAAGTAATCACTAAAGACCTGTTTGTAGTCAGGTGGTTTTTGTAATAGAAAAGCTAATTAACTCATAATTTGTTATCAATACTATAGTAAGATGTGATACACTTTGATTTGCCCCTTTAGAACCCTTTTAAAGTGATCACTTTATGCATTGATCCATTTGAATTCCCATGATCCTTCAGTGGCTCTGCAGTTTCTAGGTGTGGCAGAGCTCGGTGCGTCACAGCTCAACCTTGCTTGTTCCTCGTCTGACTCACCCCAGCTCTCAGTGCATTAATGCAGCAAACGCAGAATCAAAATGGTACAGTCAGGTTAGCGGCGAGTCACTAGACAGTGCCGGAATTTTGTACTTATTGAATATTTGCCTGCGGTGCATGTTTTATGACCATGCGATTATAAAGATGACTCAGTCCAAGTGCTGGGGGAACAGCTTTTGATGGGGAAAAACCCTGTTAGAAATCATCAAAGAAAGACCACAAACATCCAGAAAGCAGCAGACCAAAACCAAGAAATTCATTTGACATGTTTTTTTATTAAAAAAAGAAAACTGTTACAATCAAAACATTTTGTATAAAAGACAGGTCACATATTCTTACTCCATCTACAATAGAATGTTTTAGTCAACTAATCTGACGCTTCGAGGCGAGACTAAGAGCCAGCTACTATATGAAAATAAGATTCCCAAAAATATGAATCAGTCTTCTCACAAACGGCAAGTCATTCCAAGAAGGCGGGTAATGCTGCCGCCTGGAGCACCCTAGATGCTGATTTGTGTGTTTTTCTGAGCACCTGACACTCAAACTCTTCAGCTCAAGAAAAAAACAAAAAAAACCTCTCTCCTATGAATGATGAGGTGTTTGGATTAGAGCACCCAGTGTTAAAAACGACAATTTGTGAGTCAGCTTTTCCCCTGATGTGTCAGAAGATTTACCAAACAACGGCCACAGTAAATATTGGTGCAACAACAAGGTATCCAATACTATGCAATTCCATGAGAAACACATGCTGATTGCAAAATGAGGAATCACTTGTTATAAAACCATGCAGAAAAGCTCCACACAAGGATTCTGACACCAACATTATGCCTGATTGTAGTGGGAAAAGGTAGTATAATGTGCATATGATCTACCCATCAGGCCATAGGTGGATAAAACAAGAGGGAATAAATGGCACAACCTACTAGGACTAATCAATAGTTGCTACTTTTGCTTAAAGCCAATAGAAAGCATGATTAATGTGGCCAACTAGCTCTATCACACACAGGTTAAAAGAAGTTCATTTTGTTTTAATTGTACAAACTGTTAAAAAAAAGAAAAAAGACTGAAGGTATCCTGGCACAGTTTCAACATTCTTACACAATAATCCTTTCTCTTTCTCCAGTCTTTACTACTCAGCTGCCACAAGGTGTAGATAAATGTGCAAATATTTTCCTCATCACTGTCAGCGTACGAAAAAGTAACCTTAGTATAATACAATGGAAAAATAAATATTATTGTGGAAGAGAGTACGCCAGGGACCCTTTGTTTTTGCACATGATGGGTGAAGAAGATGTATTGAAAGCAACCATGAGTAAACTGATGCGGGTCTGATCCACCAGGGAGTATGACAAATCCAAAACAGGATGCAGTGGCTTTTTACCCCAGATAAATCTCTTTTTTCCCTTAAAAATAAAAAACTGAAAGAAAAAAAAGCACCCAATTCTAGCAGAATTGAAGAACCGATAAAACAGTCAACACCACCAGGAGGGAAGCAGGGAAAACAATACACATTCACGGGCCAAGGACGTCAAATTGTCCGAGGAGAGCTGGGAAATGTCTGTGGATCTGTATTCTACTGACTGCAGTCACTGAAGTATTGCTAGTGTCTACTACACTTGAGCTACAGATGGAAATAAATCTGAATGAGGTGAGCTCTTCAAACTAAGGCTCGTGGTTGTGAGGAAAAGTATCAAAAAAGGTTGACATCGGTGACACTGCACACATCTCACCGCGGTCATGACCGAACTACCACTACCATGAAGAGTTCTGTTAGATTACTCGCTGAGAAGAAAACCAACAAAGTAAAATATGAGCACCATATTTGGCATCACCGCATCCTTCTTTGGTGACCAGGAGGAAGAGAGGAGGGGGCTGTAGTGTTTATTCCTAGACGTGAAACACACAAGAGGAGGAAGAGGAGCAGCGAGCAGTAAGGCCGAGGTGAGTTAGTCCAGCTGGAGAGTGTGGAGAGAAGGAGACTCCTCCATGGCAACACATCATGAGCACCAGCGATCAGTGTGAGAGTCATTAGCAGTCATTTATATATTATATATACACTTGTACAAAAGAAAGAAAGAAATCCCTGAAGTCATGTTAGACAGTTTCCTCTTGAGGTCAGTGAGTCCAGCCCATGAGGTGGCTGACGCGGGCTTTCTCCGTCATTTTGCGGACCCTCCCTGAGCGGGACCGGCCTAGGTTGAGGGGGTCTTCCTTGGACCCGTGGCCGTCGTCCTCAGACTCGTCCCGGTACAGAACTGTCCTGCGGCCCTGGTTACGAGTGCTCACCCGGCGAGACTTACACCGGCTGCCCCTCAGACTGCTAGCTCCCGCAGCCCCTCCCTGTGCTTCGTCCTCCTCCCCATCGGGATCCTCCTCCTCCTCTGGCTCCTCCTCTTCCTCTGGCTCCTCCTCTTCATCCTCCTCTGCCTCATTCTCTACATGTTGTACAGCCACCGGTTGCTGCTCCTCCTCCTCTTCTTCTTCTTCCACCTCTCCATCCTCCACCTCTCCATCCTCCTCCTCTTCATCTTCACCACCCACCTCCTCCTCTTCTTCTTCTTCTTCCCCAGCATCCTCCTCCTCTTCCTCTTCTACTGGTGGCTGCACTCGCGCCCTTTTAGGTCCCTGTGCCGCGTCCCCTCCCCCTTTGTGTCTCCTTTTCCCTGATGCCGCCCCCTTACCCTTAACAGAGAGGCGTAGCGACAGGCAGGGGGCTTTGCTGTAGTCGTGATCTCCGCCTTCGACGAACTTCTCCATCTCAGACTCGGAGCTGTTGTCGCTGTCCGACGACGACGAGGAAGAGGAGGACGATGAGCTGGAGGATGAATCTGATGAGGAGCTGTTGGGCCCAGACACAGCTGCTGCTACTACTACCACCTCCCCCTCTTCTTCCTCATCTTCATCATCATCATCATCATCGGCGGCGGCGGCGGCCTGTGGCACTTCTCGACCGCGGCGTTGTCTGGAGCCGTTGCTGAGATGAAGGTTACGCCTGTGCCCTGATGCGACACAACACAAGGCTTTAGCGTCACGGTCAAAATTACAAGACGTCTAAACATTTGTGGTTTTTGCTGCAACTTTTATTACTATTATTATTTTATTAAAGGGCCCATGTCATGGCCATTTCCACTGATCATAATTCCATTGTTGAGGTATACTAGAATAGATTTATACTGTGCATTTTTCCAAACTCACATTGGTTTCTCATACAGCATCTCTGTAAACTACGTGTATTCACTGAATTTCACTCTCTGCCTTTAACGGCTCGTTGTAGCTCCAATAGCTCCAGCCCCCACCCTCCCTGTGAGCACAGTGTGCTCTGATTGGTCGGGACGTTGTGAATCGCGCTGAGCTCCGTGGAGGTGTTGTTTCCTTGTTTAGGATACACAGCGAAACACAGCCAAACTCATCCTGAGCACACACAAAGTCACAGCCGAAGTAAAAACAATAAGTGTGGCTTGATATTGAGTAAGAAAAAGGTTGATAAACGCTGTGAGAATGGGTCTGCAGAGAGAATTTCGCCGCGATCCCAACTGTCTGTTATCAGCCTGCAGCCAAGGAGGAGAAATCAGCTGAGCTGCCTGCTCCCTGCACACAGATGTGTGTGTGAGGAAGTCCGTGGATTGGTCAATTTGGACCAATCAGCGGGGGCTTAGCGTAACGGCTCCACGGATTGGTCCATTTCGTTCCGGGTACCGCATGACATCATGCCGTACCCGGAACGAAATGGAAGAATCAAATGGACAATGACGTATCTCCAACGAGGCGTTTTGGGGAGGTATTTTCTGTGTTAGAGTTTTACTCGCTACAGGGTGTACTTTGAGGGTTTGTGACTCTGCACACCGTTTACATGCATAAAAACCTTCATAACACACAAGGGGACGGGTAATAACCGGAAAAGCATGACATGGGCCCTTTAACAAATAATTAAGATCGTTCAGTCTATAAAATATCCGAAAATTTTGGGAAATATCCATCACAGTTCCTCAAAGTCCACGGTCTCTTATTTGAGAGGAGTAAAACTGCATTTTCTGACATTTTTGCATTACAATTCATCAATTCTTTTTAAATAAATACGTTTCTGTTGATAATCGTACCAATTAGTCGACCGATGGTGTAGCTCTGATCTTTGTGAGAATGTATTGCTCGTCCTACCTGACTTCTTCACTGGAGTTGCCTGGCTGCGGGTCACCCGGAGCGGCTCTTGGCTTCCGCTCTCGCCACTCGTCCCCGATTCTGGGGAAGCAGGCTGGATGTCGTCCTCCTCTTCTTCCTCCTCTTCCTCATTCTCCTCCTCTTCTGCTACGCTACTGCTTTGCTGGGCTGAATCGACAAAATAATCCTTATTACTCATCCAGTAATCACTTTACTTTTCACAGTGCATCCGTAGTGTGAAGCATTACATCTTACACACATATAATTACTGTATGCTACAAAATGCTGTGTGGCAATGCTAAATCTATTATAAGCCAAATCAAATGGACAGTGAAAATGCAGTTAGATCAGTGAAACACCAAAATAAAACTAAATGTATCATTTTGGAAGAGTAATGCTTGTGTTACTTCCCCAACATTGCTACAAGCAAACATTTTTTTGATGATTCTGCACAACATCGAGAGCTAAAACACATGGAGCAGCACATACCCTGGCTTGATCTCCGAGAACGAGTCTTCGTTGAGGTCTGGGATTTTTTTGGCTTCGACACCCTCCCTGACTTGTGCTTCCCTTTAGAGCTGCACACATGGAGACAGAGAGAAGAAGATACATGTCAGAATAAATAACAACATTATTTAAAAGCAGGATGCCTAAAACTTTCATCATATTGAAGGGGCCCTATTGAGCTTTTGGGGGGGATTTCCCTTTCCTGCAGTGTTATATAGGTTTTTGTGCATTTAAATGGTCTGCAAAGGCTAAAATCCCAAAGTTCCCTCCAGAGATTCTTTCCCACACTCCCCCCCCTGCCTTAAACGCCTCCATTGGACTCCTTTGTTTACTTCTGCAACATCACTACGTAACACTTGCACTTCTATTGGCTGGCGCTCCGACAAATTGTACATGATAGGCTAAGGGCTGGGACGTCTCTCCGTGGTTGACCAATCACAACAGGGCCGACCAGCTAACCAATCAGAGCAGACTGGGCTCTGGTTTCAGACAGAGGGTGAAAAGAGGTGGTGCAGCACAGGCAGTATGAGAAAAATAAGGGGCTTTCTGAACATCAAAGCATGTAAACATGTCACACTAGAGGAACAAAACACAAATATGAGCCTGGAAATGTGCATAATATGGCCCCTTTAAATGAGCTTTTTAGGACAGGACTCTTTAGGCTGAGGGTAAAACAGGCATTCATTTTAAAGCAGCTGACACCCAGTGTAAACAAGAATGAAAAAGACAAGATGATGAGGAATGTCAGGTTTGTGGGGCAATCAGCACCTGGGGGAGGGACTTAAAGGCGGGGAGCTGCCTCCGTTGTGCATCCTGTCCCTGTAACTCAGTCTCTGACGGGTCCGCCGCTCATTCTGTACGGCAGACTTGTAGTCGGAGATGATGGAGATTATGTTTTTTTCAAAGAAGGCCGACAAGCTGAGGGTCATGGTGTAGATCTAAAACAAAAAAAAGTCAGAGTGAATCTACCAGACAACCACCATGTCAGACTTTACACAGATAATTCAGTGATGCTGCCTCACCTGTGATTTCTTGTTGGGCGTGTATGCTTTGGAGTTGCTGAAAATGAGGCGCACATCTTTGGCAAACTCCACTGGGCTTTCATAATTCCCTGCGCCCAGCGTCTCTGACACTGAAGCCAGATCCATGGGAGTGTCGATGATGTTCCGATAGTCCTACATAAAACAAGTGCACAGATGTTCATTTGAATGTGGATTCTGCTTTTACGTGTATGCCCTCGGCATGCGTTTTTTAAAAGTTATTTCTAGTTCTGTGAGGCATGATTGTTTTACCGGATACTCAAAGAGGTCCACGGGCCGCCTGAACGGCTCTGAGTCTGGCGACACCATCATTCGACGCGACAGCTCTTTGCATTGCCCACGCCAAAATTTCACATCCAAAACCACACCACGCTTCTTGGAATTCTGGTTGGCTCCCTGGCAGAGAGAAGAGGATGTCAACTACTACTGGAAGTACTGCAGATGACTTATATTTGTTTTGGGATACTGGACTTTGATTTGCTCTTACCTGATTTCCTGTTGAGGTGCCCGGAGTGTCAGAGTCCACCTCCAACTCAGCCTGCAGAGGAGCACAAATACATCTAAATGACTGATGATGATTTACAGCATAAAACACTACTAAAAACCTGGCACCATAATTAAAATACGGTAAATTGACTTATTTTTAATAGCACTTTTACAGTCTTTGCGTCCCTCAATGTACTTTTACATATACAAGTGAATGCATTTAAACACATTCATACATGGGTTGCCATAGAAGGTGCCGTAGAAGGTGCCGTGTAGTGGAAACGCGCCATTATGGCGCGTTTCCACTACACGGCCTCGCTCGGCCCCGCTCGGTATGGCTGGGCCTCGTTAGGACTGGCTCACTTTATGGCGCATTTCCATTACAGTTTAGGAACTGGGGCAGTATCTATAGTAACGCAGTGTAGGCGGAGCCGTGACGTGATCTTCAGAGAACCCCAGAAAAACAACACAGCCGTTAGCTGTTAGCACTCAGAGCTCACAGCTCCTCATATATGTTCAGAAACTAGACAAAAGTTAAACAAGTACAAACCACAGACTGCCTGTGTCATGGCGAATACAGTCGCTGCTTTATTTATGTCTGTATAGGCCGTTGTTGTGAGTGTGGACGGTCGGAGCATATACTGCGTTAGCTTAGCCAATCTCCATTTAGAAAACAAGCATTTTAAAAGGTTTTTCCCCTGCCGTCTGTCTGCAGACTTGACAAAGCATTAATTCATGGTTTTTACTAACCGGTATCAGTATGTTGTTACTTCGGCATCATTTTGAAACGTGTATTACAATTAAATCACGGTCAAATATGTTCATCTTGTTGTAGTTGTAGCCCCCTTGCCAGCGACGCTCTCTCTAGTTTAGCATACTCAGCCCGACTCAGCCTCGTTGCCTCTGGCCCTGGACCCACGATTTTATGAGGCCAGAAAAACTGTGAATTAGGACCCGCCGGCCGGTACTAGGCCAAGTGGAAACGCAACCAAAGACGGGCCGCTGACGTCACAGCCCTCTTAAACCGGGCTGCGCGCTGTAGTGGAAACGCGCCATAACATTCTCCCACCATTGGCCAATTTGGAGTAAAGTATCTTGCCTAAGGACATGCATGGGCTGGGGATTGAAACACCAGCCTTCCGATTGAAGGACAACAACTCCTAAGCCAAAGACGTTTCACAAAAAACAACAACTAATAAAACACAACCCAAACCTCACCTCTTCTCCTCCACTGCTGACCTCAGACCTCAGTTTGTGGTACAGATCCAAGATGTCCGTGCAGCTCTGGTCCCTGAAAGAGACAAGAGGCATAAGACACATGTGCAGGACTAATAAACATTGTAGTAACATCGTACATGAGCTGTGTGGAGCTTTACCCGATGTAGCGCAGGAGAATGTCAGTCACCACCTTGGCAGTTGCTACAATGGGGCTCTGGGGTTCGTTGAAAGTGCGGGCGTTGTGTTCGATGTAGCGCACCTCCCACATTAACGCAGAGATCCGCCTGCAGCAGAGAAGGACATCCGCACAAACAAGTGTTAATAAATATGTCAATTTTTTTTTACATTAAAACATTACCAAATTCTATTTTATTTTCATTGAGAATAACAATTTTTTTTTTTTAGGATGACAAAAACAAGGTGATATTTAGACTAGATTTCACCAACTAAAACTAAAATAGTTAGGGTTTCCTTTAGGGTTTTCCTCAGAAAAGACTAAAATGCTAAGACTTTAAAAATCGAGTCAAACAGTGACATAGGTCTAAGACTGAATAGAAGAATAGCACACTTATCAAGCCTTTGAATGAATGGTGAAGATATGTTGTGTGAGGTTGTGTTTGTGTGCTGCTTCACCTGTAGTAGCGGTTCTCCAGTCGTTTGTGGATGGTGCTGAGGTCAGTGGGGTAAGAAACGGCAGTGCAGTACAGAGAGTAGTCTTGCAGATTTACAGGTGATGAGAATGCCTTTGCGACATCTGTGGACAAACAGGAGTGCGGTCAAACATGAACAAGGTCAGACTTCTCCTGTAACAAGCAAACTGTCATCGACCCTTCGTTGGCCTACCCAGTGTGAGGAGCAGGTCGATGCCAAAGATGACCCTCTCACACTCTTCATCTCTCGTGTGAGCGCCCCACTCTCCTTCCTGAGGAGAGTAGAGCAGAGCCTTCAGCTCGTCCTCTGCCACCTCCACGCCATCACCCTCCTGCTCAGGCAACGCAGCTGAGGAAGCCACAACATTTGTCAGAAAAGAAGAAAAAGTATTAAATTAGTTAAATGAAAATGTTTTAACATTTTAGTTACTTAGAAGATAATAAAATAAGGAAATGAGAGGCATTTCACTGTATCCCAGTTAAATGCAGCCTTGGTAGTACATTTCCAATAACAATAATATCTTTACAAATATTTCCTAAATCTATACAGTATGTATATTCATCTGTTGTTTTGCTGGAGATTTAAAAAGGTTTATAGATTGATTATCTTTCAACTTGATTAAATCTCTCGCCATCATTTCCTGTTATCTAATAAAGGTTTCCTAACCAGTTGATTCTCATATTAATAATACCACTGACCTTCTTCAGGGATAGGCTCCATGTCCCAGGGACTCATTTTCTCCCGCTCACCATTATCCCACCTGTTGAAACAAGAAAATAAAACAATAATTCCATAATCCTTAAGAAAAGTGAGATTCTGTGGGAGGGCATGGGATTAACAGAGAGCACTGTTGGAGCAGGTTACTCGTACACCCGCTACAAACACTGCAGAGAAACTGACTCACTTCACTGCAAAGCACTGAAACAGGCTGTCTGGATACTCCAGCTGCAGAGGCTCCTGGTCCTCCACGGAGCCGAACCACCAGGCGTCGTCAATGATGCTGCGGAACCTCATTCCTGGAGAGAGCAGGGCGGAGAGGACAGAACACTCTTCATCACAATAATCACATTCAGATAGACAGCTACAGATCTGTTAAAGAGTTGTGAGATACTAAAATATTTGTTTCTGTGGCTGGTGATATTTAATTAAAAACCCTTTCAAACTATAAATGAAGAATATCAGCTTTTGTCAACAAACAGGATATCTAACGTCCCATAGTCTATAATGAACAACAGTATACCAACACCATATATCACTGTTAAGGTTTTAAGTAAGCCTCAGTGGAGCTGGTTTGAAAACTGAATGAAAAGGGAGCAATTTAATCGTTTGCACTGTTTCTCCTTTTCTAAAAGTCTTATGTTATACATGTTTGTTGTATGTTTTTTGGATTAAATGCTGTGTTTTGTATTTATGTGAACACTCACCTGGTTGCCAGTTGTGGTCTTTAGCTTCGTTGTAAAACTGCTGAAGTACCAGAAAATCTATGACATCTGGCATGTCATGGTACCTTTAGAGTGTGGGAATTAAACATTTAATTAAATGCAGGCATGCTTTAATTTACATTTTGTTAATATAAAATAATATTATATTCCTATGTTGCTTACTTTAAGGAGAAAGATTCACTGGTCATCTTCCCTGAGACTGAGTCCACGAAAGCCAGCTTTAGGCAGCAGAGGGTGGGAGGTCCAACTTCATATTTAATTCCAACCACCTTCACAGATTCTTGGTCCTGAGGAGGCAGAGGAAACACAAAGTTAAGCTCTGCCAATCTTTCCCTTGGCCAAGGAAAGTACATCCCATTGCCGTCTTCAGAAATGACAACATGTGGCTGCTGTGTTCAGACTCTTGTCTAACGGAACACGTTCACTACACAGGCGGCTCCTCACCCTGAGGTCGAGTCTGTTCCACGGCTGCTTCTGAGGGTTGATGCTGTAAGCCTTAGCCCTGCGGACAGCGCGGACATAAGCCTGGTGGCCCTGTTTGAAGTAGACGAGCTGGAGGAAGACATGAGAGATGTTGTCAAAAACGCATGTTATGAACCGTTATTTCAGTTTTCAGAGAGTGAAAAACCTTACCTCATCTCCCATTTGTGGAACAAAAGGAGAGCGATGTGGGACGGTCTCCATTATCCATGCTGGTGGCAGCCACTCCTCTGCATCAAGTCCAGCCAGAGAGGACGTGGGTTTCTAGGATCAAGCAATGAGAAACATGTTGAAGTACAGAATTCCTCCTGTACTGTGAGGTGAAGATGTTTTAAGGAGGTCATGTTACCTGTTTGGTCTCCTTAGGCTTCTTCTTTTTCTCGTTGTCCTTCTTCCTGGGCTCCTTTGCCTTGCCATCTCCTTCCTGCTCCTCCTCCTCTTCCTCCTCCTCCGAGCTGCTGTAACCCCGGGGTTGTACGGGCCTCCTGGTTGGTCGCTTCGGCGGCTGCAGGTTGATCCCAGCATCGGCTGTCCAATCAGAATACTCACTGGAGGAGTCACTGAGAATGAAAGAGATATTATGTTAGTGATCATTACTGCATTTAGAAAACACACTTCTCCGTCAGAAGATATTTACCCGGAGCTGCTTTCGTTCTGCCACTGAGCTTCACCATCAGAGGACGCTTCGCTTTGCTCCGCCTGCTCTGCTGCCTGTCAATAGAAATACACACAGCAATTGTATTATTCTGAATGGTAGTTAACAGACGGTGCTCTACTGGACATGTCATGTTTGGACATCAAGAGTAGAAAGAGGGAACGTACATTTCCTTCGCTGTCAGAGTCCACCTGGCTCTCAGTTTCAAGTCGGTTGCTGGAATTTCGACTCCTCCGAGGACGACGGACTTGAGCCGAGCGGGTCTGATAGGCGTGGCGCTGCTGCTTTTTCTTGGACGGCCGGAGGGATCGCAGACGAGAAGTCGGCTGATCGCTCTATAAAGTGCGTAAGGAGGGTTGAAGACAAGTAAAACAGAAATGAATTGGCAACAATAGATAGTATTTAGTTGTAAAAATAACTGTGAGGTTAAAAGTAGTGTACCATTGGTGTGCAGGACACTGGCTTCTTCCGCCTCTCTGCGTTGTAAAGAGAACATTCCATGTCGCCTTTGGCTTTTCTGCACTGCTCCACAGATCTAATAAGAAATCCATCATGAAAAATACATAATTAATAAAAAAGCAATTTCACTGATATCATCTTTCTGTGATATCCTCACATCCAATAAAACGTCTTTCTGTCTGCCTCACCTGGAGATCCCATGCGGCACCTCGTTGACCATCACCCTGCGGCTCCAGGCCAGCAGGTCCCTTTCGGTGGCCACCTGACTCAGCAGGACGTTATGCTGCATCTGCCACACCCCGTCCACCTGCCCACTCCTGCGGGGGGTACCAGCCACAGAGGAGGCCTCCCCCTCTGCTTCGTTTCCTTCTAAGAATCGAGAAGAAAATTGTTCGTTATGGCAAGATGTTACTTGGGAAATATGGCCTTTTTGTAAATAGATGGTAACTATTTAAAATCTAGTAGTCACACTCTGTATGGAATATATATATATATATATATATCATCTCTTTCATAACTAAAATACTTAAAAATGGTACATAAATGACATCAGACGAACCAAGAACCAACCGTTACAACAGGATTTATCTGGAATAAGTCAATCATTCAAAAACCACAATCATAAACAGCAGTGGCACTATTTAAAATAAATATCATGGATGGATTTTGGAATTCAATTATGTGGGGGATGAGGGGGGGGGGGGGGGGGTCATGGACAATTAAAATACTAGGAGAAAAGTAGGCAATAGGGAGGAAAGTCAGAGCTCTAGCATGCATGGGAAGCATATTGTCATCGATAATTTAAATACAATTATTTATACAACATATAATACAATACAACTTATACAAGTAGATTATCAGTGTTTTTTTTCTCTATTTTTGCTCTCGGCACAAGGAGAAATAAAAGAGAAGCCAAAACTGTCACAGAAGATTGAGCACTTCTGCATTTTGTGTGAACCTACCATTATACACTGTATCACAAAAAATAAAACTAAGAAAAGTATGTATGCGGGTTTCCCGGACAAATTTGAAACTTACCGGTCATGTTTCAATAATAATAATAATAATAAGAATTGTGTAGCAGAGTTTCCGTTAGCATGTAATTACCGGACTATGACCGGATATGCTGATGTTTAAAACTCAGTTAATGGAAGTCATTTTTATATTGCTTCAGTTTATAATCGTAACAGATCGAAATTTTCATTTTTCAATAAATGATGCGCTTCCACAAACAACATAATTATTACATTCAAACAAACTACTTTTAGTAGATAAAGTACATTATTCAAAAGTTTACATTAACTTTGAATAATAACACGGGAGAAACCGGATCCTCTCTTTTCCCCTCTCCCTCCCTCTCTCTCCTGACAGCCCGTCAGTTTCTCATGCAGCTCGCTAAACAGTGGGCGGGGCTTCAGGTGATCATGCAGAGCTGCGTGTCTCAGCAGCTGATCTGATCTCTCTCTCGCGTCCGGTTATACTTCACTCGCGTTTATGTCCATATCGATCAGATCCAGCTCTCCTGGTCGGCCTTTATAGAGAGCACCGATCAAACTATTAAGAGTGAATATCGGCCGATAATGACCGGCGGCCGATCGATCGGAGCATCCCTAATTATTACCGGACATTTTGAATTTACCGGTTTTTAATCAATTTTACCAGCTAAAAACCGGTAATTAGCGGCTGACGGAAACCCTGAGTCAAACATACCCTCCGCTTCTTCAGCCGGCGGTTCTTCGATCTCACGCCCGTCCTGCTCATCCTGCAACTGTCTGATCAGATTGTCCAAAATGCTTTCTCTGTTTTCTGCTGTTTGCTGGCCAAGTACCTGCTCAACCAACTCTCCCTCACCTAAGCAGAAGAAAAAGAACATATTTTGTCAAACGTTTAAACTTCCTTAGATAAAAGTGTGCAAGCATTTTGAGTAAATGTTGCGAGAGAATAAGGGAGCATGTATTTACTGTTAGCCATGTATCCTAGTTGGGGTACCAGCTGGTCCTCCTGGCACTGCTCTCTCCCTGGCACCAGGCGCTGGTAGTGAGGAGGGTGAGGATTCCCATCAATGTCCACCAGGAAGGGTGAAGGCATGAGGTGTGGAGCCTGCTGCGTCTGCTCATCCAGAACGTAGTTATTAGCATCACGGATGAGAGGTCGGTAGTCCGTGTGGAAGAACATCTGATCAGGAATCTGGAGGGAATCATGAATACATTTGTGTTTATAATGATACCTAATCCGTACAATATTTAAAGAGAAACTCCCTCTGGCATGGACTTTGTGATTTTAGCCTTTGCAGACCATTTACATGCACAAAAACAACAGGAAAGTAGGGTCTCTAAAGAAAATATGAACAAAAGTATGTGTAACCACACATCGACAATGCTGTTTAACTTGATTTATTCCAGTTTCTTTAAAGAAAATAGGAAATTATAGAGTGATTTTGAACAACAGTCATGTGCCGTTACCTTCTCATATCGTCTGCTGCAGCCAAAGCCAAAGATGAGCAAATGGCCGTGTGAGTCAGTGCAGGCAAAATGCTGTCCATCAGTGGAGAACTTGCAGTCAAAAATAGCACCGTGGCCTTGCCCTTCAATCTGGAAACAACATATTGTAATGTTATCTCAATGATAGAATAGAAAAAACACTAATGGTGGGTAATTTTCATCATAGAACAATTACCATGTTGAAGTAGTTACGGATCTTGGTTCCTTTGGCGAGGTCCCACATGTAAATGTTGCCATCGTGGCCAGCAGACAGCATGATGCGGGAGTCAAATGGATGAGCCTCCAGCACAAACAACTCATCGTCATGGCCCTTTGAACAGAGAAAAAAACAAACATTCAAGTCACTAGTTAGGTTAAAAACAGCCTTTTGTTAATGCGGTACTTGCTTCATCTACTCACAGATAAGACATGCAGCAGCTGTCCCGTGGTGGTGCTCCACACTTTGAGCAGGTAGTTTGACACCGCTGTGATGACGGTGCTGTCTGCACGGTCCCACGCCACCATGGTCACCACCAGCTTAGTTTTATCATCGCCATTGGCGACAGCACTCCTGGAAGAAAATATGCCGTCAGACATGAAACACTTATAGACAGAGGAAGAAAAGGCATCATGAATATTGATGCCTCTCTTACCCGGGGAGCCTGGCACTAATGTCTAAAGTGACACTCTTCCACTCCTGTTGCTGGTAATGCCAGATCTTGGCTGTGCCGTCACGACTGCCGCTCACAAACCTTAGACTGGACACATAAACACTGTCAGAGGCTTGAAATCCCCACAAAAAAACAGTTTGAGGAATATGATCTCAGCAAACCCACTCACCTGTCGCTGTTATTGCTAAATTGGACGACTACAACTTTATCCTAAAACAGGAAAAGAAGACATGTGGTTGGGTTACAGATAGATCTTGTTTGAATTAAGTTAAATAGAGAAGACCAAAAATAATGCAGCTGCTGTGTTTGGTTTCTTACCGTGTGCGCATCCATCTCAGAGACCTTCACAGGAGTTTCCCCACCAAGGTAGTAGACTCTGATCAGATGATCAGTGCCACCGGTTGCCATGAACATACCACCTGTTAGGAACACAATCAGTGTACAATAAATATCCTTATATCCATATTATATTTATTATGTTTGTATCTTAGAAAAAACATTTACCATCGTTCAAACATAGAATCTTGAGTTTTTGAAATGTTACAATGATCCAAATACATCAATTAATTCCTTATAAGCACACAATGTATACAATATCTTGTTTTTTTTATTACTGCACATATTTTATTCCAATTCAATTTCATTGTAAATACTGCTATTTTTTATGTTATTATGGTTTTCTTAAAATAATTTTCTATCTGCGTTTAATTGTTGTTTTACTTTTATGTATGCACCACAACACCAAGTCCAATTCCTCGTACGTGTCAACCTACCTGGTAATAAACCTGTTTCTGATTCTAATTCTGATTATATATACTGCCTGATTATGACTCGTTTCTTAGCAGTTATTGTGTCACTAAAAAGGACATTTTCAACTTTTTTTTCAGCACTTTTATTGTCATTACACAGTACAGGTACTATGTAATGAAATGGTTTCTCTGCATTTGACACATCCTAGTGTTAGGAGCAGTGGGCTGCCATTATGAACGGCGCACGGGGAGCAGTGTAGGGAACGGTGCCTTGCTCAGGGACACCTCGGTAGCACTTGGTCTTGTCGGGACTTGAACTGGTGACCTTCCAGTTGCCAAGCCAAGCCCCTATGGACTTTGCCACCACCACAACTGAGAGTCTCTGTTCATTTCTTAAAATAAGCTAATGCTGCTAACTGCTATAAAAGTGTTCAAAAACACAAAATAGTTGGATTAACTAGCTTCTATTAATTGCTAACAAATAAATAATAGGTAAAAAGTTAGGTGGATTTTTGTCAGATGTTGCTTTGCTTATCACAGCAGATTAGGGAAATACATCTGGGACACATAATGTCACCAGGCAGAGAAACACACTTACCACTGCTGAAAGAGGAAGTGGAGACCTGTACTCCTGGACGTGAACGCTCAACAAACTTGACTGGTTGATCCCTAAGAAAAGAGGACAAAGACAAAAGCTGTTATTCCCATGAAATAGAGGTATTTCTTTCCAGGGCAAGAAACAGCAGAGCTAAAAAAAAGTAAGTGACAGATATATCAAACACTTACTGGAATTTCATGCTGAGCGAGTGCCACTTCCAGAAACACACCATGCCGTCTGCACCGGTGGAGGCCAGGTACCTTGTTGTCCCTTTGATGGCAGGACAAAACTTAGGGATAGAAAGTCAGTGTTAGTTATTCACAGGCAAGAAGTGACCAAATACAGTGGCAATGGAGTACAGAATAAGTGCAGAAAATCGAACTGATAGAATCTTTGGATGCAACAAAAACAATATTGATATGTTTCAACCCTATTTCAGCAATTAAAATGCATCAGTCCTACCTGTATAGACGTGATGGAGGCAGCGTGGGCCTGCAGAACCGTGATGGGTGCGCAGGTACGCAGGCACCACACTCTGATGGTTTTGTCACAGCTGGCTGAGGCGATGAAGGTGTTCTCATGGTTGACGGCCATGTCACAGATCTCTGCCGAGTGGCCGCGGAGCGTGGACAGGAGCCGGCCGTCATCTGTGGCCCAGATTTTAACCAGGCAGTCATCAGAACCCTAAAACACATGGGACATTTGCAACATATAAGGACAGTTGTCAACCAAAGAGTGTTATCATAATGTCAACAAAAAAGCTGAGTTATTGTGAGCCTCATTTATGTCAACTTAACGACTCTTTTCACGTGAATAACATATATTTTTGTAGCAGTCAAAAGTTGAAACAAGTTTATAACCATACCATGTACACAGTATATTATAACAATTGTATTTCTTTACAAATTGCATAGTAGTTTGCTAAGTTTAAGTCACTATGTTGTTGCAGAGCTTATATAGTGACTTTATAAGCAACTTCTGGAGCACTACTAAGATCAACAAAAAAAAAAAGTCTGCCAACTCGCACCGAGTAAATTGCACAGACAGCAGTTAGTAAGATTGATTTCAGTAGCTGCTTGTCTGGAAATGGCGAAGACTAGAAAAGGTTTTGAAAACTTTTGTTACGTAGTGATCGTCTTCTCAATAAAACATCTTTGCTAATGTCTTCTGGCCAATCAGAATCACGATAACGGCGTGGTGTTGTTGCAGGAAGTCCCGACGGAGAATAATTTTGCGGTAGGACTACTGTTTATACATCCATGGATACAACATTACGTGTTGATAGAAATCAACACGTAATGAAATAACTAAGACCCCACGGTTTGATGATTGATAGGTGTGTGGGCTGTCTTTCATTTTGACACACAGAACAATGGGGGCTATCCACCCTTATCCACACTGTAAAGTAATTCACACAGCCTTTCCTCTTCTCTCTGTGAGGAGCAGCAGGTTCAGCTTTCAGAACAAAGTAACAAAACACAAAAATGGCATTCATTTTTTTAAATATGTCGTGTAGTAATAGATTTATTTATTTTTCTTCTCAAGAGAGTACCAGAATAGCCGCTTTCACACCAAGTACTTTGCCGTACTTAGTGCCCAGCACTTAGTGCCAGCACTTAGTACCCCCATGGAACTAAGTACGGATCGCGTTCACACCTGAATAAGTTCCCTGAGGGAAGATTGGTTGGTTATGGCTAGAAAGGATCCGTCTTGTGTAAATATGACGTCATGTTCCTAGCAGGCACTAAAAATGGGGGTAAAAGTTCTCGGAACTAAGTACTCTTTTTGGTGTGAACGCAAAATTCCAGGCATTAACGGAACTAAACGGGAAAAGTACGGGTAAAAGTACTCCGGTGTGAAAGCGCCTAATGTGTATTTTATGTTAGTATTTCAAAAAATCTCAAGACAAATGTGCCGTTTTATTTCATACAGTTACATTTTGATTGAGACGGATGGCGTTTCACTGTCAAGGGGGGCGATATAGCGTGTATGTAATTACATTGCAAATACTGACTTGAGCCCCACCACTGTATGGGTTAGCCCTACCATAGATTACCCAACAAAAATACTCTGGAGCCGCCACTGCTGAGTGACACAGAAACGTCCCCCAGAGTTCTTGCTTAACTATTTTGCGGTTGCAATCATCCTTTCGTTGGCTAATTGTTGACCCTATTTAACTATGCGAAAGAAAACCTGTAAATGTAAGCAGGCACATTGTCCCGTTAAAGTTCGTCTGATTAGAACATCCCATATGGATATGATCTGCATTTTTTTAATTACTCACTTCAACCCTGGTGTTAGAGAGATGCCATATCTAATTTGTCTTTTTTAACTTATTGCTAGAATGGTTTGCAAAAATATCATAAAACAGATGAAAACACAACTAGTGAGATATATGAAGTTTTTGTTGCAATAATCATCTGAACCTGAAATCAACACTCACCGTAAATATCCGACGGCCGGTGCGGTCAAAGGCTACACAGTAGACTGAAGACAGGTGGCCAAGGATACGTTTGTGTATCTTCATGTGTTGATAGGAGGAAGACGGAACGGCCTGGCTGAAACGAGCTCTGCCTGTGGCCTGGCGAGCGCCCATGATGGACACTGCATATGAAAACAAACAGCAATGATTAAAAGGACGAAACACACACTGCTAAAGATGACATCATTCACTAGGTCTCGGGGCATTAAAAAGTACAAGTTTCACACACCAACATTGGGAGGGTTGCCAATGCTGACTGGAGGTTCTGGTGGACGTCCTCGGTGCAGTGCGGCGACAGCTGAGCCACTGCATACTTTGTGGCTGCAACCTAATTACACGGTTAGAGAACAAAAAAATATTGAGGAAAGTGTGATACTGATGTAGAAACAGATATTTTTGCAACAAACCACACAAATGATAAATCTATATAAATACAACAGTATTGGACTTTCCGTAAATACAGAAAATAATACAGATATGAGTGAAATACCCACTTTTGGTGGTACGAAGCAAGGACTGTTTTCCAAGTCCAAGAAGTGTTTGGACTCCAGGAACACTAGGTGGGATCTCCTTCTCTATAAGCGGACCTATCCGCCGACAAACATGGAGCAGATAGTCTGCAGGAATGTGCTGGTTTAAAGTCACCTGCAGGAGTGAGAGACGGCTATTACAAAGTCATAAAACAACTAAATTATAAGCATTCAATAACAAACCCAAAATATTATAATATATAAATTACATATCTGTGGTTGAAATATGTGACAGCGCCACAATCATTTAAACAGCCCGATTTGATGTTGATACAATTTTAAAAACAGTCTCTTTCTACTTATACTTGCTCATAATGTCTAGCAAGGTTTCCTAATGGAATGTAGGTGATTAACAATCAGGACTGATACAAAGGAGGGAGAAGTAAAGAAAGAGGAGGGACACAGAAGCTCACAGCCAATCAAAAGAGTCTCTGACGAATCTTCTGGTTCGCTCGCACTGGCAACTGTGCTTTCATTGGCTACTACAGAGGACTGACAGCTCTGTGGATCTGGCTCAGCAAATCACAACCCGCCCTCGTCTCCATTCTCCTCCTACTAGCCCGCACAATAGCTAAGCCTATATATAGTTATTCACCGACGGGCCTATGCTTATATAAATGTTAAAATGTGTAATAATAAACATAAACCCATGACAACCGCGTCTTTTCTGTGTAGTTATTCTAAATAAATATACACATCTGCTTCGAGTCAATTGGCGATTAAATTAGATGTTACACTCCTCATTTGATAAAAAAAAAGTTAATTGTGACAATTCACACTCACCCAGTCTCGAAAGGTCCGTTTGTATTTCTCCCCATGCCAACTCCATCGTTCAGGTATTAACTAAAGTTTAAAAAAAACAACGCGTTAGATTGACACACAACGGCTAGTACCGTCCCGGCTCGGCAACAAGCTATTTTATATGATACCGGCCAAAAATTACTGAAAAGTTTCCACAAAAGCGAACCGATAGGCATCATTACGGAAACACGCACGAGAATAAAAACAGAAAGGACCAGCTGAACTTACCTCATACTCCTCCAGCTCCTCGATCAGAACCTAACAACAAACACACACCGTTAGCGTTAGCTGCTAGCAACATGTATGTATGTAGACGATTTATAACCAGTATGAGTTAATATTGTGCTTATTTTAGGTTGTTACCTTTGCTGCTTTTTTGCAAGGTCCAGACAGCAGAAACCTGGCAATGAGGTAATAAAGTTCTGCAAAGAAAGAGAGGTGTTGTTAGCATGGTGCTAACTAATGTTGCTATTGAGCCGAGCTAACGTTAGGTTGAACTCGGGTACTTAGCGCGCTAGCTGACACACAACTGTAAACTGTGTGAATGCAAAATCTTTACTCGCAGAACAAATGGCCGCTCAGCACTCACCAGCTTCGGTTTGTGAATACTGTTCTCCTGCCATCACTTGGTAAGACAGGCGACATTAAGACAAACTGATGTTTTAGCTTGCTCGTTAGCCGCCGGATAGCTAACAGTAGCTAGTTGCGTGTAGCTAAAACAGGCTCGTGAATGGCCTCCTCTCTCAAGTTGTTCCCTGACCACCTGGTGCTTTGTGTCAGCGCCCTCCAGTGAAACAGTGCGATATCGGTGTGTTTGTTTTCTTTACAGAGAATAATAACAGGTTTAACATTAATATGTATTATCAGTACAACAGATTACAACATAAATTATGTTTTGATACAATTATGTTCCTGTATTACACGGTCAAAAAAATACACATTCCAATGCTTTTGTTTTTTAAATTAGAGTGAGGAAACATTGAATAAGTTTGCATACCAATATGAACATATTTTATAGGTGTCCAGTTTAAATAAAAAAAATGTGTTTGTGTAGCCAAATGTTTAAGATGTGTATTTATCATGGTGTTCATAAATATGCACAGTACATGTATCAATTTGAAATGGTTATCTCTGATTCTCTTTTCTTTTGTTAAATTGTATTCATCCTTAGATATTACGACGGGGCCAATAGACAAAAATGGGTTCTATTGACCAAGGAGATACTTTGTAAATTCACAACTTTTCAGTATTTTTATCCAAATAAAAAAAAATATAATTTTCAATGTTTGTTTCCTGTCTAAGCACCCATACAGCACAGGAAATACCATTATCTGTGAACATAGGTGGCAATAAACAATAATATTTTTCTAAAATGTGCATGTACAAAACATTTTCAGTTATAAAAAAAAAAGTCAAAGTCAACTTTATTGTCAATCTTTTAGTTTGTGTGTACAGACAGAGAGATCGAAATACCGTTTCCCACAAATCCAAATATATATAAAAATATGTACATCCTATAGCATACTCAATCAACAGACACATTTATACATATGCACACATTAAGATAAAAACACAACAATCAATATATACAAAATAACAGTCACTTCAATATCTTTGGGAATATGTGTATATAAAATATGCATCAGTATTGTAGATTAATCTACTATACATACTCAATTTAACATTTAGATCCACCTCGACCCCTTACAACACTTACTTTCTGAATAATGTGCCTACTAAGCACATTTTGCTATACATTTTTTTTTCAGGAACATTTTTGAATGAAGGGCTTTCAACTTTATGCAGCATATTATACAAGTTGAGGATCTGAACTGCACTGATTGACATAAGGGTGGCGCTGCAGCATCTGTTGGATCATCTGAAACCTGTGGGACTGACAGTTCACCACTGCATTTGTCTTAACAATTTCAGAACTCAGCCCATGCTCATGTAAATAACATGTGATGATCAGCTAATAGCGATGGAAAGCATGCCTCAGAGAGCAGAAGGTATGATTCACACCAATCACAGCATATCAGTGTAATCTACATATGTGGAATACCGGTGACATTTATTCAGTGTTTTATTCAACCTGTTGTGCATGATCAGGCAGTTAGAATAAATTCCTTTTAATTGGGTATCTTTTAAATCCAAATCACCACCACTAGAAATGCAGACACAATCACATAACTAGTAGGCTATATAGTCCAGTGGGCGGGATTGAGTGTGGTCCAACTCCGGCTGCAGAGAAACTCTCCATTCAGCCTTCATCTGTGTGTGCGGACAGGACTCGCTGTTTCAAAGTACTTGGTGTGAACGCGGCTGAGAGTTTAAAGAGTGAGGGGTCAGGATCTCTGTGTGTCCCCATTACCGGTCGGACTTGATCTCTGGGCAACTTTTTGGGATAAATTACGTCGCGGTTCTTAGTCGGTTAAAGACCCGTTTCCTATGGTTTCCACACATATCTCCGTTTGGACTCGCTGACTGTTATTTCCCACATAATAAGGTAAGTTACCATCTTGGTGTGGAAGTCATACGTGCTAACAACAAACCGGTGCACAGTGTCGGTGTGTATACTTATAAAGTTGCCACGCTTATTACAAATCTGATTTTCTTGATATCTGATAGTAAACTCCTTAACGTATGTGAAGGGAAAACAGGCTTGTATCTGTCACTTTCTACAAGTCTTAACTTAGCTGAATTTGCTTTACAATACTTAAAACTACTTATTTTTTCATTGGTAACCTAGATATTACCTTTTGTTTAACACAAGCTAATTAATGGAGAATGAAGGTTTTCTCATGTTTTAGCCAAGTTTTAGCCAAAGTGCTTTATAATTATATATATTAAAGAATTTCCCAATTTGGGATTAATAAAGTATATCTATCTATCTACTATCTATTATTATTTTTCAATATTAATGTTATTTTAAGTAGTATTAATTATCTGGTGCTGTGTGAAGGGATCCTGTGAATGTAATGCTGTCTATGACTAATGAACATTTGTATGTGTTGACATACTAGCTACCTGTACACCAGCTCTTGGTTTGGTGCACACTATTACATCTGAACAATTATCACACATGACTTTTGGAGAATAAAATGTAAGCCTAAATGGCAGTATCATGCATCTGAAAGGGTAGCATCTTCGTGTATGAAGAGCAAAAAGACTGGAATATGAGATTGAAAGACTCCAAGGAGGAGTTTGATGTCACAGGATTCCTGTTTAAATCCAAGTCAATGGCAACTGGGTCACTTTGTTGAGCGACCAACATAATAATGTGACAAAAACAAAGCTAATGTTTGTAGTTGAAAGGAGCCATTGTGCAAATGATGTCCAAAAGATTGTTCTGCGTCTTCATATACCCACGCTGAGGATGCTGTGCAGAGCTGGGCCTAGCATGATACATGAATAGTGATGAGGAGGATGTGTGCTGACAGGATGGGCTGTTCCATGACTGGCTGAACTGAGGTGTATGCTCCATATGCTCCCTTTTTACCTCATGCTGCTAAACATTTGGGCCAGCCTCGTGACTCATGCTGTCTTCCTCTGCCTTCAGCCGTTTTTTTTATTCCCATCACTAAATCCGATCTAACATTGAGAGCTAGATTACATAGTGTATTCTATATCACACGCCTGCCACTATGGAAACAGGGCAAGAGTCAATCATGATCTTTATCCTTCCTGTACTTTGGCTGCCTTCTACTGACTACTCTCTCACTCATTGTATCTGTTCACTTTGGAAAATAATACCCTCCTCATAAGATAAGATGATGAAAAATATTGTGGCAGAGATTGCTGAAAAAATAAAACTGCATATGAAAAATAAACAACAGAGGAATACATATTAAGATTAAAAGAAGTAATACTAAACCAGTGCCCAATAGAATTTCAATAAAGTAAGATAAATTAAGTAAAATAAATGAATGTAAAAAGAAAAGTAAATTGCAAAGACAATAGAAAATGAGTAATACAAATAACGTGTATGAGAAGTAATACTAACACCAGTGTACTAGAATAACAATCAAATAAGATACCTTTTTTATTTATTTATTTTTATGAGCATTTTAAGAAATTATTAACAAAGCATATAACCAAATAAACACAGATAGATACATAAATTACCTACATAGCAATCGACAAATCAGGACAAAAATAAAATAATAATACAATTAATTGAGAAAAAAAAACATAATAATGGATACATTATGAAAACATAATAATGGATACATTATTAATATTAATAATTTCATCAAAAATATGAACTTTGTTTCTAATTCTCATAGTTGTTTTCTCAATTCCATGCATTTCATTTACTAGTTTCTTCCATTTGGAGTTGATTAAGTTATTATCTTTAGCCAAGCTCATGTTTTGGGATGTATATTATAATAATAATAATGATTTTACATTAAAAAAACTAAACAAGTAAACATTGTTTGAATTAAAAAGTGTTTAATGTTTTTGCAACTGGCAATCATATACATTTTCATTATATTCGGATTATGTTTCATAAACAAGGTTTAGTATATAACATTTATGTGAAGCTCACTCATAATATGAGCTGCAAGTTTGACTCAAAATAATTTAACTTACCATTTAAAGATTTTTTTAAAAACAATTATGATCTATTATGTGGTAATTGTGACTAATTATCCATTAGCATTTGACAATTATGAAAATCTTTTTCACAATTAGCTTCATTATCTCTATGACAATTTCTTCCCTTTTGCTTTCCTCTTCCATTTCCTCTTTGTCCCTTTTTCGCGTTTCATTGTCTTGAATGCCTGTTAGTATGCCAGCAATATTAGTGAACAGCACTGTACCATTTAAGATTAAAATGAGCTAGAGGCCTTATGGGCATTTTCTTCTCTGAGAAATAACTGTGCTTGGTATTCTGCTTCTTTGCGTCAGCAGTGCTGTGACAGTGTTTTAAGTCGTGTATGCTGAATCTCTGCTGTGGTGAATGTTAGTTAACTGATGACACAGCCTGCTCTCTGATGTTACGGAGCATGTTGTGGGGAAAGTAGGTTACTGGGCCATGTCCTGCAAGCTTAAACTGAACGCTAGTCTGAATATTGCTCGAGCTGCTTAATGTGACTGGGCATGCACAAATGGGATAAGTCTGTGCAAAGGCAAAGAGACCATTTCCACCCTCTGTCTCTTTAAGGAGCCAGAGTGGCGCTCCACACAGAATGAATGTTGAATGTTCAGCCCATGTTGATTTATCTGAAACACATGAAGACAGATATGACAACAGGTTGAGTTATGTTAAAGGCTGCAAATTACTAAGCCCTACTTACTTTAAACACCTGTGATAGTATGAGCAGCCTATTTTTAGCATTTACATTGTATTAATACATACATTTTACATACTCACATTTACGTCAGTGTATATTTTTCTTTTAGAAATACAAATTAAATGCTTTATCTGAAGCTCAAGAAGAAGTCTGATAAATTAATCTTGGATTTTATTTTTATGAAACTATTTCAAACTTTTGAAATTATGGTGCAAAGGTTAATTCAATGTTATAGGAAAACTACTTGTCCTTGGATGCCTTTGTACTTGCTTGCTGTTTGGTACATACAGTATAGCCTATATGGGTGTGTTGTTGTTTTCTATAAT